GACAAAAATTAAAAGCACGTATTCTGAGAATATGTTTTACATTGTAAAATGTATTAAAAAAACGTATTCTGAGAATACGTTTTTTTTTTAAAATTTAATAGAAAAAGGTATTTTGAGAATACGAGCTTTTGATTTTTGTCCAGATTTTTTTTTTCCACTTGATTTTTTTTTTATATAAATAAATTTCCCGAAAGGGAGAGTGATCGAGTGAAATTCTTAACATGTGCAAACTATATAAACATCTGACCCTAATCAAATTGACAGGCAAGCACATAAGAGGATAAAAGTAAACATATACAATAACCATAATAAAAACATTCACGTTAAACATTTATGCTAAAAGAATAAATTATACAAGATATAAAGATAAATGAGGAAAATAATATAATATGGAAATGATATATATACATAGTTGTGTACATTATAGAAAAAGGATGATTTGAATAGAGTAATGTAAGTCTAGCAAATTCTCTCCAGTTTAATGAGGTTTAATACAAGGACTTTGTGTTTGTAATTTTATTAAAAAAGTCACCAAAAGTCTTCCAATTTAAAATGTCTCATAAAGTTTTCTGACTTTGAGTACCGAGTGATTTATACAGAGAGATTTATAATTTTTTTTTAAAATTTTCAATTGAATACCGGCAAACTTTTCAGAAATCTAAATTTTTTTTAACTAAATACCGATAGACTTTTTTAAAGTCTTTAAATCTTTTAATTGAATACAAAGTGTCTTAATTCCTTGTACATTTTTATGTTTGCAAGAAAGGTACGTAATTATGTGTCACCCTCAAACGAAAACAAAATCTCAATCTCACAGTGAATTTTCATAAACGTATCAAATTGAAATGAATATTCAAACTATCCAATTCGGATTTCAACATAAATATTTAATTTTCCGTATCCATATGCATATTTGATTTCTAATCGAATTTAATTTATAATTCTATTCATTTCATTTAAAATAGTCGGATATATGTGATTTGATTTGAAATTTAACAGAAAGTATATAAATGCATAAATATACGTATTGTATTAATATTTTAGATACGAATATATTAAATATTTGTATATTTTAAATATATTTATATGATTAAATATAAATATATTTTCATATTTAACATAATTATATAAATTCTTATTCGAATTTCATGAATTAAAATACAAATACTCAATTTGAATTACGAATAAAAAAATTCGGTTATCGAGACGAAAACTTATAATATTATTAGGGCTCATTTGTTTTTGCGGGATGAGATTGCACTAAATTCTTACGAAATAAATGTATTGCACTGTAGAGATATGTTTAAACTTGCATTTGTTACACGTGATTAATAGTTTAGATAATATTATCTTTTACTAATCAGATAATATTATCTTTTACTCGTTCCATTGTTTGGTGTTCATAATAATTAGAAGGACTAAATAACAAAATACCTTTTTAACAAGTTTTTTATAAATACACAAAAGGAGATGTTCAAGAACCCACCAATCCTAATCGCGTGTTAAGATCTCGTCGTATTTGAATTTCTCTTTTCCCTTTTCCAGAAGCGGCTCGTGGCCAATAGTTGCATTTGCAGTAGCATGCCGAGAAGGGAGTAGGGTTCTTCGAGTTTTTGATTTTACAGAGGTTGTTGTGTCTTCGCTTCTCTTCTTTTGTGTATCAATTATAATTGAAAAGGCATGAAAACACTGATAATATGTACAAGTGTTATATAACACTTCTAGTGTTATGTATATTTACTCTTAAGATCTTGTTAAATTAAGTGCTATCTAAGAGCTCCGCATAACACTTATCTAAAAAACATTATTAGAAGTTTTTTGATGTGGTCAGAATAAGATAGCGTATTTCTCCTCTTATCTAAATGATCACATTATGTTTTATACAATATGTTTAAACACATATTATACCTGAAGTGGACAATTATATGCTTTGACTGGCGAACAAAATTTTATCAACATGGAACCTTAAATCTCGATCAAAATCTTCAGAACTGACGTGAGGTCAGAATATTAGAATACAAAGTTAAAAAAGCTTCATACGAATGAGTTCTGTAGATAGTACAATCACCAACAAGAACCACACAAATTTGTCACAAGATAATAATCCTCACATATAAACCACCCAAGCATAAATCAACCATGCTATCAGTTTCTTTCTCAAAAGTTAAATGCAAAAACTCAATAACGGTACTTGGTGGAATAATCTTTGGGAGCAATGACAAGACCACGACCTTTCCTGGCCCCACGATACACAGTCTCGACAATGTCGATGAATTCCTGCTTGTCTTTCATGGCCCAGTTAATTTTGTTGTTGTTTCCTGTGCCAAGATCAATCATTATGTGCTTGTTCCTGAAGAAGAACATGACAGTCGAGGGGTCGTACAGTTCGTACATCGTGTTGAAATCGGGCACCTCTGTTATGTCCACAAGGTATATTACGGCAAAGTTCTTTATGGTCTCGGCTACTGAAGCTAGCACCTCATCCATCTGAAAATTATAACAAAGTTGAGAATATAAGATTGCTTGCAGCCTACATATTACGAGCTAGCAAAAAAGGAGCATGCAAAACAGAGGGAAATTATGGTATAACAAAAAAAACTGGATAAGAGCATTGTCAAAGAAAATTCTTAACTACTCGAGCAACCTTCTTCTACGAAAAGCTTCAGCATAACCCAAAAGACTAAGAAATACAAAGCAGGGAATATTCTTGTCAAGACAAATGACACTTATCGAAAATAAAAATCTAAAGGTTAGGCAAACAAGCCTACTACGAAACTTCAAATCAAGCTTCGCTCCTGTTTCCAGGCATTTACTCCAAGAAGGGAGGCAAAAAAAAAATGATTTTTTTTTTTTTTTTTAAGTTGCTACTTGAACTATGGTGTATGATTCCAATCTCAAAGCAGAACACAACGTATTGAAACTCCAAATGTACTGTTTCCAGCGGCAAAAAAAGCAGTTTTGTTTCTATGTGAAAACATGTCAAGCTTCTTTATCATTTTAGCCTTACTAATTTCCCAATACATAAAAACTATTTTCATCACATGGAAAGAGACTCAATTGTTAAATAAAACGTAATCATCAGACTTCTATTTCACTCTAACCTTGCTAATCTCCTCTTACTTACCAGTGTGGGTAATTTCATTCGGATTGTTAGATAAAACCTAATATTAGAGCTACGCACCTGAAACCGCACATATGCTCGCACGATGCTCAACTGCAACTCACGGACAAAACCGACATCTATGTGAAGTGATCGTGTATTTATTTGTCTGTGTTACAATTACAAGTTTATCAAGCAATATGTCTTCTTTACCATAAAATATTCCAAGGAACACAATTTTCAAACTAGTTCTGCTAACAAACTAATATCTAAGAAATTAGCAAGTCAACGATGTCAAGAAAAATTCATATTCAACGGAAACTATAGCTTCCGAATAACCCTAATTAGCGTAATTGCACACTTCAACAAGGGGAAATAGAAGAGAATGTTGATTATTGACCTGCATGCAGGTCTCGTCCCAGTCGTGACCGAAGCGGATGATGACGAGGCGCTCCTCCTCGGCGAGGATCGCCTGATCGACGGCCCAACCTGAGTGAAGGTGCGGCAGCAAATACGACATCGTTTACCTATTCCTTTTATTTGCTTTTTCCCCCTCTGCTTACTAACTACGCTGCGCTATGTGGAGATGGGATCTGCGAGCTATCGCCTATTGGGAACTTTAGCAGGGTGTTGACGACGATGACGAAGGCTCTGGAAGATTCAATTCGCTTTCGGTCAAGTTGGTGCAGTTATGTACAATTAATACTGAAATAAGGACCTTGTGGGTATGTTTTAATTCTGGTTTTACTGATGTACTTTCCATTTTGATCGTTATGAAATAAGATAATATAATAAAAATGTTATAAAAACGGAAAGATAAAGAACACAATATAGAAATTGGATATGAATTATACTCAGTATTTCTTTCTTCTTCTGAATGTGTATTTTCCATTGCATTTTGGATGCCTTTTATAGGCAAACTTTCTCGACATAACATTCAATAATTTATGCAACATTCATATCTTATTACTATTCCCATTTCTTCAAATAGTGAAATGTCACTATTCATGCATAGTGGTTTATTCCACTTATACATATTATAACACTCCCCCTTGGAATAACCACTATGTAATGTGCGTTTATGCTGCCTCATTAAAAACCTTATTCGGAAAAACCATGTGGGAAAAAAACCGAGATAAGGAAAAAAGAGTACAGCCGCACATGCTCCCCCTCGAGTTATCATCCGTGTAAATCTCGAAGATGTCTCATTCCAATGTTATGGACGTGCTTTCGAAATGTTGTAGTTGGGAGCGCCTTCGTAAATAAGTCTGCTGCATTATCACATGATCGGATGTATTGAATCTTGATCTGTTTGTTCCTTTCAAGCTCTTGAGTGTATGAGAAGAACTTTGGTGGAATATGTTTAGTTCTGTCACTCTTGACGTATCCTTCTTTGGTCTGAGCGACACATGCTGCATTGTCTTCGAATATGACCGTCGGATCTTTATTATTTGATAATCTACTGGCTTGTTGAATGTGTTGAGTCATATTTCTGAGCCAGATGCTCTCTCTAGTTGCTTCATGCAGTGCAATGATTTCAGCATGGTTTGAAGATGTAGCAACTAGTGTTTGTTTCTGAGAACGCCAGGAAAATGCAGTTCCACCAATAGTGAAAACGTAGCCAGTCTGAGATCTCGCCTTATGTGGGTCTGATAAATATCCTGCATCTGCAAAACCGATCATTTCATGTTTTTTATCATTTGAGTAAAATAATCCCAGATCGATTGTTCCTTGAAGATAACGGAATATATGCTTGATTCCATTCCAGTGTCTCCTTGTAGGTGACGAGTTATATCTTGCTAACAAGTTGGTAGCAAAAGATATATCTGGTCTGGTGCAATTAGCAAGATACATAAGAGCCCCTATTGCACTCATATATGGTACCTCAGGACCAAGTATTTCTTCATTTTCTTCACAAGGTCGAAATGGATCCTTTTCAACATCCAATGTTCGGTTAACCATAGGAGTACTAAGGGGATTAGCTTTGTCCATATTAAATCGTTTCAGTACTCTTTTAGTATAGTTAGATTGATGGACGAATATCCCATTTTGTACTCTCTCTATCTGTAAGCCAAGGCAATATTTAGTTTTTCCGAGATCTTTCATTTCAAATTCGCCTTTCAGAAAAGTAACTGCTTCTCGAATTTCATTTGCTGTCCCAATAATATTAAGATCATCAACATAGACAGCAATTATCACAACTCCATCATGTGATTTCTTTATGAAAACACACGGACATATTTGATCATTCAAGTATCCCCTTTTTAGTAATTGTTCACTCAAACAATTATACCACATACGCCCGGATTGTTTTAAGCCATACAATGATCTTTGCAACTTTAACGCACATAACTCCTTAGGTTTTGAGTTCAGTGCTTCGGGCATTCTGATTCCTTCTGGGACTTTCATGTATATGTCGGTGTCTAATGATCCATACAAGTAAGCAGTCACAACATCCATGAGACGCATCTCAAGATTTTCATGGGTAGCTAAACTCATCAAGTATCTGAAAGTAATTGCATCCATGACAGGGGAATATGTTTCATCATAATCGATCCCAGGCCTTTGGGAGAATCCCTGTGCAACAAGGCGAGCTTTATATCTCGTGATCTCATTATTCTCATTTCTTTTTCTGGTGAAAACCCATTTGTATCCAATGGGTTTTATGCCTTTTGGTATAATGGAAATAGGCCCAAAAACTTTTCGTTTATTTAGTGAATCTAACTCGGCTTGAATGGCGCCTTTCCATTTATCCCAGTCACGTCTTTTCTGACATTCAGCTACAGATTTTGGTTCAGGATCCTCAACTTCATTATCAATTTCTTTTGATACCATATATGCGAATGCATCATCATTATTCATGATCTCATCACGCTTCCAAAGATTCCCATTGTTCACGTAATTGATGGAAATTTCAATATTTTCATTTTGTCCCGAAATTTTTCCATCATCTTGATTCCTTTTCAAATTGGAGTCAAGAATTTCTCTTTTCTTTCGAGGATTCTTATCTTTAGACCCAACTGGTCTTCCTCGTTTCAAGCGTGTCTTTGACTCATTTGGCTTATCGTCATTTGCCATTTCTTTTGGAATCTCAATTCGAGCAGGGGCATTTACGGCTACCACATGTGATTTGGTCACCCTTTTTAAATCAGTAAATGCATCTGGCAATTGATTTGCAATATTCTGCAAATGTATGATCTTTTGAATTTCTTGCTCTCTTTGTTTGGTGGGAGGATCAAGATATGATAATGCGGATGTTCTCCATTCAATATTTCTCTCAATTGACTTTTCATTCCCACCTAAAGGGGGAAACAATTCTTCATTAAAATGACAATCATCAAAACGAGCTGTAAAAACATCACCTGTTTTTGGCTCAAGGTATTTGATTATTGATGGAGATTCATATCCAACATATATTCCCAACCTTCTTTGAGGCCCCATTTTTGTACGTTGTGGCGGAGCAATTGGTACATATACTGCACAACCAAAAACTCTTATATGTGCAATATTTGGTACTCGACCATATGCCAACTGTAATGGCGAGAATGTATGGTATGCACTTGGTCTTATTCGAATTAGATCATCTGCATGCAGAATAGCATGTCCCCATACTGAAGTGGGGAGTTTTGTTCTCATTATCAATGGTCTAGCTATAAGCTGCAGTCGTTTAATAAGTGATTCTGCTAGACCATTTTGAGTGTGAACATGTGCCACAGGATGTTCAACATCAATTCCCACAGCCATACAATAATCATTAAATGCTTGAGATGTAAACTCTCCAGCATTATCCAGTCTGACTCTCTTGATAATATAATCTGGGAATTGAGCCCTTAATTTAATAAGTTGGGCAAGTAATTTAGCAAATGCCATATTTCTAGTGGATAACAAACTTACGTGAGACCATCTACTAGAGGCATCAATCAACACCATAAAATATCTGAATGGACCACAAGGTGGATGAATAGGTCCACATATATCACCATGAATCCTTTCTAAAAATAATGGTGATTCATGTCCGACTTTAGTATGTGATGGTCTCATTATCAATTTCCCTTGAGAACAAGAGGCACATGTCAACTCATGTGTTTGCAATATCCTCTCATTTTTTAGTGGATGGCCACTAGAATTTTCAATAATTCGTCGCATCATTATCGAGCCAGGGTGACCAAGTCGATCATGCCAAAGTTTAAATATTTCATTCGACTTTGAATTTGTTGCAGCATATGCCTCAATTATATTAATCCGGGTATAATACAAACCCGAGGATAAAGCGGGTAACTTCTCCAAAACACATTTATTTCCCGCATTATCTGAGGTAATGCAAAGATATTCAACTCCCCCTTTATTCATCGTTTCAATGTGGTATCCGTTCGTTCGGATATCTTTAAAACTCAACAAATTTCTTGTTGATTTTGGGGAGAATAGTGCATCACTTAATATAAATTTTGTACCGCCCATCATAAAAAATATGGCTTTTCCAAAACCTTCAATTATCTTTGCACTTCCGGATATTGTGTTTACTTTTGCTTCATTTAATTTCAAGTTCACGAAATATTTTCTGTCCTTGAGGATAGTATGAGTAGTAGCACAATCTGCAATACATATATCTCCATCTTGAATTCGAGACCGATCCATGATCTAAAAGAAAACAACATTTATTATTGATCAAATTCAAAGTACAGATACAAGTAGCTCATACACAAATACATTACAACTCAAAAAGCAAAATAAAAACATGATCATCAGTTATTCTCTAGGTCATTTCCAGCTCCGTCTTCAAATGCCGCATCGGCAAAATCCAGTTTCAATATGTCATCGATGCCATAGTCATCATCCACACGCGTTGCATCATTTTCAGAGGATTCCCCAACCATAAAATTAGTTTCTATATTCTTATCTTTTGATTTCTGGGAATCTTGGTATTTTTCAACCTCGTGCCTTGGGGCTCGACAATTTCGAGCCCAATGGTTATTTCTACCACATCGATAGCATGCCTTTTCATCGTTATCCCCTTTATTATTTTCAGAATGTTTATGAAAATCATTTTTTCCATGTCCATGATAATTACCTCGGCCAGATTTGTATCCTGGGAAAAAATTTCGGCCTCGTCCATAATTTCTATCTGGACCATATCCACGGCCACGTCCACGTCCACGTCCACGTCCACGACCACGGCCACGTCCCGAGGTATATCCACGCACATTTGTTTGGCTGTTTTCATTTCCGGTTCCCTGTTTAGATATTACAGCATTTATTTCAGGGACCGCAGTAGACCCCGTGGGTCTAGATTCATGATTTTTCATCAACAGCTCATTATTTTGTTCGGCTAGCAACAAGCAAGAAATCAGCTCAGAATATTTCACAAAGCCTTTTGCTCTGTATTGTTGCTGCAAAAGTACGTTTGAAGCGTGGAATGTGGACAACGTTTTTTCAAGCATATCGTAATCAGTTACGTTTTCCCCGCATAATTTCAATACCGAGCAAATGCGGAACATGGCTGAATTGAACTCGTTTACAGTTTTAAAATCTTGGAAGCGTAAGTGCATCCATTCATAACGAGCCCGGGGGAGAATTACTGTTTTCTGATGATCGTATCTTTCTTTCAAAGCTTTCCAAAGATCCGCAGGATCTTTCACAGTTAAGTATTCATTTTTCAATCCCTCATTTAAATGGTGCCGCAGAAATATCATTGCTTTAGCTTTATCTTGTATTGATGAATTATTTGGGGAGATTATTGTTTCTCCCAATCCCCTCGCGGCCAAATGAATTTCGGCATCCAGTGTCCATGAAATATAATTTTTTCCCGAAATGTCAAGAGCCTCAAATTCAAGTTTGACCAGATTTGCCATGATAACTATAAAATAAAACATCAATGCTTATATTAGAGAAAATTACATTATACAATCATTAATTCTCCATAACGTACAGAAAAACAAATAAGAGACACATCATACAAAAACCTAATACATAAAGTATAAATTCAGTGGTATGATACATCATCGTGAAAATTCCCAAAGTGTAAAAAATAAACAATATAATGGTAATTATAAATAGTAGATGAAACATTTTTTTTCGTTTGAGGGAAATATATTTTAGTATTTGAAATGAGTGTTAATATATGAAGTGTAGTGTGATATATATATAAGTTGATAAGTAGCCGTTGCAATATAGCCGTTATGTAGCCGTTGGGAACAAATTAATGATATAATATTTGTTAGTTAATCATTCATGATTATAAAATACTAATTAATCATGAATATTATCTTAAAAATTCATCGAGCCACTATGAACAATTTAATGAATATAAGTGTCAAAACAAATAAAAATGTCACTCCACACTACTCGATAAATCTTTCGGTGGGTACAAATATAAGCAGTTATAAATTTCACACCACATTACTGGGTGAATCATTTTGTGGGCGTTAAGTATAAGTAATAATATTATTTATTATAACTTGAAGTTATATATCATAATTAGTAGTAATCATAAGCAAATTTAATAATATCATCTTACCACATATTATTGACTATGACAGAGCCGTACTTGCCAATAATAATGGTAATATGTAAATTAGTATAATGTTATATTTAGTATATTCATACCACATATTCTTGACTATGGCAGAGCCGTACTTGTCAAAAATAATGGTAATATGTAGATTAGTAAAATATACTGATTTTATGTACTGTATATACATATTAGTATATTCCTACCTTTCGGACCGGGTAGAGTGTTCGTGCTGATAACGTGTTATAAAAACGGAAAGATAAAGAACACAATATAGAAATTGGATATGAATTATACTCAGTATTTCTTTCTTCTTCTGAATGTGTATTTTCCATTGCATTTCGGATGCCTTTTATAGGCAAACTTTCTCGACATAACATTCAATAATTTATGCAACATTCATATCTTATTACTATTCCCATTTCTTCAAATAGTGAAATGTCACTATTCATGCATAGTGGTTTATTCCACTTATACATATTATAACAAAAAACACTCGTTTTCGAGCACAAAAATTATGTCGACCGACGGGCATTTTAGAGCTGGATTACACAAAGTTACCTAGCCGATATACGATCTTTATCATTGGTGCTCTCGTTGAGAGAGTCGATCGTATATCATCATGACGAATAGAGAAAGAATCGATTGTTTGGAAGAAAGTGTACGTTCAATCAACGATGACGTAAAACCAACCAACCAAGTGGTGGCCAAAATCAAATGGATGTTGCTCCAAAACACCGGACGGAGAGCACGAAGGGGTGGCGGTTCGGGTCGATCATTGGATAAATCAACTAATTTTGGAGAAGGAGCCCAAGTTTCACAATGAGTTGCGGAGGAGGAAGATAAATGATTGCGGGGTTTGAATCATCGAGAAAGGCGCAAGAGCGAGAAGCCAAAATTGATTTTGCCAACATTTGACGGGATAGACCTGAATTCGTGGTTGAGTCGAGCCGAACAGTATTTTGAGAACAACGAACCGAAGGCAGAAAGGGTAAAGTACGCCGCCTATTATCTTGATGGGGGAGGCGAGCATGTGGCAGTGTATTTTGAGAGTTTACAAAAAGAAGAACACTTAGATCTGCTAGAAAAATTTCAAAAGAGGGTTGATTACGCGATTTGGTTCGTCGGATTACCATGATTACGATGAAGCCTTCACATATAACGCAGGTGGGAAGCTTACGTGAATACCAGAAGGAATTCGAGGGAATCACGAGTCGTGTTTGTGATTGGCCGAAAAGTGCATTAGTGGGAGTGTTTATTGTGGGCCTAAAGTCCGATTTAGCCGTTGAGGTGAGGCTAGAGAGACCAAAGACGATGAGCCTAAAGACTATTTTTATTTTTCAGAACAAAAGAATTCACTAATAAAAACACAACCATACATACTACATAGCAGCCAAACAACCGAATAAATCATTTACTCCACTGAATCTAGGTGAGAGGGCTACTCCAAATTCTGCTAACCAGAGTATCCTAGAACTAACAAACTTCCAACTAGAGTATACCAAAGCTTCCATAANAGACTCTAGCCTTCTCCACTAGCCGAACAACCCACCAATTTTTTTTAAAACTAATTATAATTAATTAAAAAAATCAATCAAAACTCAATCAAATCTATATCCAATCACATAATAAACAAACAAAACCCCCTTAAACAAACAAAACCAAACAGAACAGACAATAATGTGATTTGCATCTAACTGTAACCATTCAAAACCCCCTTAAACAAACAAAACCAAACAGAACAGACAATAATGTGATTTGCCATCTTACTGAAATCAATGGTTATGATATGGAGTGAATGAGTGATGCAATCAAGTAAAAAATAAACAATGATTAATGTTGAAAGCATAATTTTTAAACTTGGCCCGTGAGTCGACCCGGACAGATTTTCGGGTCACTATGTCACTGGTTCACCCACTGGGTCGCGGGATCAATTGTTGAACTGGATAATTAATTTTAAAATTTTTAAAATTATATATATAATATAAGTGTGCATAAAAGTAACAAAATTAATGTTTTGTATACAAAATTTTGTACATAATAAGAGTGTTAATATATTGTATCTCATAATAAATATTTACCATATAAATATATATTCATAGTTTTTATTCTTAAAATAAAGTTATTTAAAAAATAAATAATAAAAATACACAGGCCGAGTCAACCGTGTTGACCCAACCTCGGGTCGACTGGTTCAAGACCGGGTTTTGACCGGGTCCATTGTTACCCGGTTCGATGCCCACCCGGACTAGTTTCGGCTCTAGGTAGATCAGGTCCCGGGTCGAACCCCCGGCCGATCAGGGTTGAAAAACTATGGTTGAAAGAGATGTTTCTCACACTAAAGCTATGTTTGGTAGCCAAACAAGCTAACCTATATCTTATTTGGTTAGATTATAAGTTCTCTATATTCAATTAAGTTTAATTTGGTAAGACGAGTTTTTCTAAAAGTTCGAGCTTTATCTCATAAGCTTCTTTCGGTAACTTTTCAAATAAACTAGTTGAATTTTTTATTTCAGCTAGTTTTATCAAACACTTTTATCATATATGTTAGCTTATCACTTATAACTCATAAGCTAGAAAGTATAACCTAAAAAATTACATATGAATTATCAACTATCATTTAGTTTATAACTAGTTTTACCAAAATATAGGTTAAAAGAAAGCGGCCTACAGTTTGAACAAAGGTTTGACATGGTTTGCCTCAGATCCGGGGCACTCATATTTTCTGTTGAGGATGTTAAAAAAAGTTGCCTTTTTATGTATATTTCAAGATTTTCTTGTGACATCAAGAAAATCTTTTGCTCTACTTTTCTCCACTAGTGTTTATCTCCTTTCTCGTTGACAAATCCCGGGAAACTTTTAATTCCCCTCAAACCATTAATCTTTCATTTTGTGTTCATTCTGTCAGTCAATTTGTTCAGAAACTGAAGGATTTGCTTACTGTTGCATACAATTTTTTTTCAAGAAAGACAGGTTCAGACAAAGTTCTCACCTTTTTATACCGATAGTGACCCCTTTTCACGGATGTTAGTTGGTGTTCGATTTTCTTAGTTCACCAGATCTAATCAAGCCGTTTCCATTTTCAAAACCTCTCTCTTTTTTTATTTATTTTTTTCGGGTCAATTTTTGAAGTCTCTGCAAGCTTCTATTTACGCAATCTTCTACTCACGCGTCCTAGATTTTCTGTTCTCTTTAAATCTAGCTAAAAGGGTCTTCAATTAATTCCAACAATGACGGGTTTTGTGATCATTGTTTGGTCGGCGGTATTTGGACAGTGATTCTTTATTGATGAGAGAGTTATGAGCCTCTGTTTCGAGTGCCTTCTGTGTTAGGTAAATTGTGGGTTCTTGAAAAACCTTAGCTTTAGAGATATTCACATTTATATATATACCCACACATGGGTGTAAATAATGAAATTCAAGATGATGGCTGAGGATACTGAGGATTGTGGTTTTGCCAAATTGGGAGGTGAAAACGTCGATTTCGCCGTGGTTTTGCGCGAGAGTGATGACGGGTCCTCGTCTTTATTGTCTGTGGTGAGTGACACAAGCAGCCTTTGTGGGGACGACTTGTTATTGGGCTTCGAGATGGGCCTGGAAACTGGGCCGGGCTTTGTAGACGTGAACAACGTTGAGCTCATTCCTAAGGATTGTATCGGTGGCCCATTGCCGGTGGCAGAGGAGATGGCAGGGGCAAAATCGTCCGTTCAGTCGGAAAAAAGGGCTAGCCGGAGTGTATTTGAGGTGGACTGTGTGCCTTTGTGGGGTTTCACTTCGGTGTGCGGAAGGCGGCCGGAGATGGAAGATGCAGTGGCGGCTGTGCCTCGGCTGCTGAAGATTCCTATATGGATGCTAGCTGGCGATGGAGCAGTTGATGGGTTGAGTTCAAGTTCGTGTTTGAGTCATTTGACGGGCCATTTTTTCGGGGTCTATGATGGCCATGGAGGTTCTCAGGTTCATCATCTTTCATTATATGGAATCACTTAAAAAGAAGAAGAGGAAAAATATTATTATGATGAGAGCCTGTGGTTGATAAAAAAAAAAAAGAAGTTGTTTTTAGTATCTTTGGATTTGTTTTTATATTATTAATTTCAGATCATTGTTTTTATATTATTAATTTCAAATATAGTGATTTGACTTTCACATAGAGNATTGACCGAGGAGCTGGAAACTATCATGGCCGAAACAAACATAGGAATTAATAAGGAAAACTGTGAGGAGAATTGGAGAAGGGCCTTCACGAAATGCTTTCTCAAAGTCGATAATGAAATTGCAGGGAAAGCCCAAATCGAGCCTATTGCACCAGAAACCGTAGGCTCGACTGCTGTTGTGGCCGTTGTTTGTTCATCGCATATAATAGTGGCTAACTGTGGTGACTCGAGGGTTGTGCTGTGCCGTGGCAAAGAGCCAGTGGCCCTCTCAGTCGACCACAAGGTAATTTTAAAGACTTTTTTTTTTAAAAAAAAAACAAAAAATATGGTCTGGTTTTTTATATTTTGTGGTTTTAGCCAAACCGAGAAGATGAATATGCGAGAATCGAAGCTGCCGGAGGGAAGATTATACAATGGAATGGGCATCGTGTTTTTGGTGTCCTTGCAATGTCTCGGTCCATTGGTATATCCTTAAATTATCCTTTTTTTTTTTCTTTGTATTTTTTTTTTCTTGAATATATGTTCATAAATCTTTGCTAAGCTCGTCAATCCTTTGCATTTTATTAACAGGCGACAGATATTTAAAACCGTCTATTATCCCAGACCCTGAAGTCACGTTCACCCCACGAGCCAGGGAAGACGAGTGTCTGATTTTAGCCAGTGATGGCTTGTGGGATGTCATGACTAACGAGGAGGTTTGTGAGATTGCTCGTAAGAGAATAATCCTTTGGCACAAGAATAATGGGCCTACGCCATTCCTGGAGAGAGGGGAAGGAGTGGACCCGGCAGCCCAAGCGGCGGCCCAATACCTATCCAATAGGGCCCTTCAAAAGGGGAGCAAGGACAATATTAGTGTAGTTGTGGTGGACTTGAAGGCCCAGAGAAAGTTCAAGACCAGGAGCTAGCTAGATAGGAATAAATAAATTGAAGAAGTTATTTTCCCGCTCGATTTGATTACCCTCTGATTATTCATTATAAGTTTTATTATTATTGTTAGTTTGAAAATTTAATTCATGTGAAAGTTATAGAATGGGATTTTTATTTTTTGGTTTATTTTTCGTTGCCCCCTGTTATGTTTTGGCTGAGGGATATAGTATTTAGTTGTGTTGTTAGAAGCAAAAGGGCTCGGTTATGGCGTCTGCCTCCGAACTAAAGGTTCTGTGAGGTGTTCGGAATGTTTGAGCCATATATATAGTGAATTAGATGTTCTAAGACTGTGGTTTGGTATCGATTTCTTCATATCTATGTTCCGCGAATTTGTCGTTTGGCATGCAAATTTTCTATGTTCTTGACGTGTTTTTCTTGCTCTTCCTTTTGCCTGTCCAAGTTTTCGCATTCGGCATAGTGCTCATGGTCATGGGTGAGCCAATTTAATCATATGCTATAAAATCCATACCATGGCTCATGAAAAAAAGAAAAGAACTTGAAATAACACTACACAAATGAAGTTTTTTCACTATCATTTGATCAAAGTGATGTACCAATTGTAATACATCATACATTACTAATTTACTTCATTATTACATCATAAATCTCTCTTGTTTGTTTACCAACTATACTTTTTCACTAGGCCTCTCGGAGGATTATAATTCGAAAAATAAATACCATCGTTCATTACAACCCAATAACACGTATCCAATTCACACGTCCCCTTACCATAATATTTTTCACGGAAAGCATCGAACGCTATATCCTTTTGCTCCCACCAAACATGGCAAAAAAACAGCGTCTTAGCGAAGAAATTGTCACAAAACTCAAAGTGATAGTCTTGATTAAGCGCAACCGTATGATTCCCCAAATCATCGTCTTTCGATGCGCAGTGAACTACAAAGGGTTGAGTGTTTGGAGGGAGGTTGTTAGCTAGATAAACTGTGTAATGTTGTGTAAAAGGGCATGCTTTTTTTTCAGAGGCCATTGTTACCACAAGGATGGAAGAAAGGATGAAGCATAGTAAGAAGTTGTGTTTTTCCATGTTTTATTAGTGTTCAATAGTATAGTGTAGAAGTTGGATATTTGAATCTTTGTGTTTCAGTTTGGCCCTTATAAAGTGATGGTTGCTTTGCAAAATGTAGGAAATCTGATTTAAGAGATTTAATAAAATTGAGGGGATTTAAATAAATAGTTGCAGATTTATTGTGATATATTATTGAGGAACAATTGATTTCAATAATCCACTTTTAATGAGAAGGTATCTCATGCATCACAATTAGGATTTTTCTAATCAAATGTTATGTATAATATATTAAAAAAAGGAAACTTTTTTCTCCATTATTGAATAATTAGCACGGTGAAAGAATTAGATAGACTACTTATGAAATTTGAGCAAATTAAATAATTGCAAGTTGCTAAGAATGACAAGATTACAATAATTGGTATATCCATAAAGAATGGTATTAACAAAATTTCCAAAATATAAATGGAATACAAAAAAGGTAGAAACTTTCCACCAACTTCGCATACTTTATTTCGAAATATTAGTTTGAGAAAATTATAATATAATTGAAAAAAGTTGTTGGAATAATATAAAATATTTAATTTGACTTTGAAATTATATTATTTGACTTATTATTAAAGAAAATATAGTAAAAATTATTCTAATATTTTAAAATGTAAAAAACAACAAATCAATTTATACCTACATGTTGCAAATCGTACAATTCAGTTAATAACATAATTTTATATATAAACAAAGTGGTATGAAATTTAAAAATTATTTCGTGATAATTATCACAATAAAAATCTGATGCTTTATATTAATTACAAATTGCTACAATTTTTTATTCTTTTGGTAACCAATCATATACCGTGATTTTCTACAACATGTCTTCAAGAAAGCGACTACTAAATAGTGTCGTTTTTAGAAAATATGATTTGAATATGCATAATAAAATTACAAATACAATAACAAAATTAAAAATAAAAATTAATTATTTTGAACTGACATGCAAATTATTAACTTAGAAAGTAAAATCTAAATATTTATAATATATATTTCTACAAATTATGATGACAAATCAATGGATTATTTGTCGAACTATCTATGTAAATTATTACCTTAGAAAACTATAATTTATATTGTGATAAATTATAATGATAAAAAGATAAGTTATCTATCAAACAATGATGTAATTTGTTAGCTTATAATGATTAAAAAATATTTATAATTCATATTGTTAATAATTATAATGATAGATTAACCAATGTAGGTAGAGGTCAATTACATCGAGCCATTCCGCATCGAACTTTCATATAAATTAATAGATTACAAAAAGAATTTATAATATTTATAATGTACATCCTTATAAATTATAAAAAATAAAATAAAATAATATTGATGTAATTAAAAAATATTAAATTTTTTAATTTCAAAATAATATATATTACAATCTTTTTCAATTAATTGTTGCATATAATATTTGCCATAATTTTTAATTTTAGCATAACTTACTTACGAATTGAAATATTGTAACAGCGTATGAATAAGGAAAGATAGAGAGAGAAGTATTCTACTAGTATTATCTATGATAATAGTTGAATATGTTAAAATTTCATTATCCTTACTAAAGAAGAACTTTACAATGAGAGTTAATTTATAACAGGTGAAATAACCATATAAATCATATATTAAATTATTATATACTATAAAATAAAAGAAAAAAATATTAATATTCAAAACTATTTTTATACTAATCAATATTCTTTCATTGCTTCAATACATGTAAATTATAATTATTGATTCGTGTATTGCACGAGCTACATACTAGTTACAAAAAATGACAAGACTACAATAATTGGTAGATACTCATAAACTTTACAAATAAATATTTATACAATTACAAAAGAATAATTATAACAATTTATAATTTTATAGTGAAATTATAATAATAAGTCTACCGAGAACTAACAAGGTGATAATTATTTAAAATTATTTAAATGACACCCATGTTTTATATTTATGATATTATATATGTCAAATGATCATTTATATGTTTTTTTTCAATTTGAACATCGTCATAATAATAAATCTCTTTGAACACTTTATTTTAGTGGAGAAGTAAAATTTTTAAAATATTTATTTTGTGTTAGTGATATCCCATCTCATATTATGAGACAAATTGAAAAAACACAGGGATGCTTGGATACAAATTTTTCTAAAAATCTAATCATTTTTAACAAATTATTTCTTTTAACTCAAATCTAACTCAACTCAACTATCATCAATATTATCAATATAATTAAATAATACTACTCAATCATTCTTACACATTACATCAACTTTAATTCACTCTTGATCCACTCACATAATTTTAACTAACTATTTTTTCACATCATCTATCTTCTACTTTTACATCAAATCAACTTCAATTATTTTATTTTAAATATTATTTTATTATAAACTCAAAATTGTACTAACTAACAATACCCTTTTTTTTTGAAAAAAAAAATCAACAATACCAAACCACAAATCTAAACAAAATAAAAATATTTTATATCCAAACATCCTAAAGGACTTGATTTGTAGAAGTCATATCAATATATGCACCTTTTTTCCTGGCACCCTTTCACAAGAACGCCAAAGTTAAGCATTTAACTTGGATTAATTATGAAATGAATAACCTCGTGGGAAGTTTCTCAAGAAGCGAGTAACTGCTTTAATTATGAGATGAGTGGTCTCTTCGAAAGGAAGGGCGATTCTGGCGTGTTATATATGTTAATACTTATTTTTACGTTTTTCAATGTACGAATAATACACTAAAATAATTATTTTCTAGTAAACCGATATAAATATTTCTTTTATGATTCCATACGGTAATTTATAGTTTTATGTAATATTCTTTAACTTAGTTTGATAAATAAATTAATATGTTTTATACAGGTAGGTGAAATTAGTCGTAAATGGCATCCAAGGCCATTCACTCGTAGGTTTTTATTTTATGTATTTAATGTAGATGTCAAATTAAAAATCATAAAAGAAATGATTAATTTATTAAATTATTTATATAAACGAGATATAAATAAAAGAGTTATTTAAAAAAATTAAGAAGCATACAACTTTATAGTAATTTATAACTTAAATATTGAAAGAAAAGCTAATATATTGTAATTCAAGAAAAGGAAATGTAATATAATTTATATATGTTTTCTTTTCTTGAATTACGTTAATACGTAGTACCAATTTGGGTCAAATATAAATACCATACAAAGAAGTACCAACTCCTGCATACATTATAAAGAAATATTAATTTTATTTTTAAGAACATTTTCAATTATGTAGCCTATTTTGAAAATGTGTAATGACTAATGCCAGTGGGACTTCGGTCATTCAGTGTAAAAAATAAAATCTAATGCAAATAAACTAAGGTTAAGTTTAATTGATGTGACGCCGTAAAGAAAACTAATTTGTATTTAGTTCCATTTTGATACATGGGTCCAATAAAAATTATTATTTTATAAAAATCTTTAATAACTGTTTAACCCCCAACATTCGGTTCATTTGAAGCTCTAGCTTAATCCAATACAATGCAGACAGTTGAACAGATTATTTCTCTGTGTTTGTTTTCAGCCTCAACATCCCGTGTGTCTGCACACATATTAAGACTAAACACAGATACATGTCCATAATTCATTAAAAAAAAAAATAATAATAATAAAATCACCGAAGGTAAATTACCATCATAGGCTGTTAAAAAAGTTCTATTTCTTTTTAAACAGAAAATGTGTCACCATCCATTCTTCTCCATCATTGTAGCCAAATAGCTCGGCAACTGAGATGAAAAACGTTCTCCAGTAGGCGGTCCACTTCACGGCTGAGTCTTTGCCGTAAGTGGACTCCATTATCGGCTTCACAGAGCTCATGTTATGGTCCATCCTCTTAAGCCATTCTTCACTGCAATCAAGATAAATTGGATAAATTATATATTAGTTAATTTTCTAATTTGACTATATGCCAAGAGATTAAGCTAATTGTTGCGTTATTTTTCACACCCTTTACCTTGTCTGCGCATAATGCTTGCCGTTCACAAGCCAGTGATTAACCACATATACGTCATCCTACACGAAATACACACTTTGTAATCTCTTTGAAAAAATATGAATTACTCTGTACTATGTACTATTTTCATACTCACTTTCTTCAAGCATATCTAACAAATCTTAACGCATTTCAACATTTTAAAGCACCAAGCTCGAAAATGCTAAGCGACAGCTCACCTGAAAGTAGAGGAGCAGGTTTGCTGAGGGCATTGTGCCTCCTGTGAAGAAGTACCTCGTGATCCAGTCATCTTCATTGACATCCTAATGTGCAAAATGTAGATTTTTTAGTACTTCGGTTAAATCGTTTCAGACTACATATTTAAAATGAAATTGTAAAATATTTGATGAAGTTTTCATGATAAATAATTTGATTACCTCAAAGTGGTAAGCAAATATTTTGTGGCAAAAATAATGGACAAACAGAAGGCCGTCCGATTTCAACCAATTCGATATCTTCTTGAGAAGGTCCCGATAATTTTTCATGTGCTGTTTCAAAGGAATAGGGGAAATTCATGACCTTAGATGGGAATTAATTCAAAACCATCTTATTTTGTGCTGGAAACAGGTGTTGATCAAGGTAAAAACCTCAAACATTTCAATGGAGAATATTCTGTCATAGGAAGCTTCCATTTCGAATGTGCTGATGTCGGCAACAGTGATCTCTACATTCTTCAGCTCAAGGACCCTGTCAACAAATAAAACCCATCCATAGGTAATAATCTTGCCTAATTACGAACAAGAGCTGGTTGCATTTCAATATTACGAAAAATTATCTCTCTTTAACAAATTGCAAGGCACTCAAGAGAGTGCTTGCCCAATGTACCGGCACTGCTCGTCGATATGTGCTTTTTGGGTGACCGAATTGCAAATTCCGGTGACCTTGCAATTGGGGTACTTTTGTGCTATGTATAGAGAAAGAGATCCCCAGCCACAGCCAACATCAAGAACCGAATGGCCATCTTCTATCTGTGACCTCTCGCAGTACAACTCTAGCATTGCCTTCTCGGCATCTTCTAAGGTACTTGACTTCTCTGGAAAGTAGCAGCAACTGCATAATGACCATTAACTATAAGTTCTGTACCTTTCCCTTAAGAGTTTGTAAACTCTATGGTATCAAACTGTATGGTCATAAGTTGCATTAAGTAACTCAACAGGCTAAACTTTCCAAAATCAGAAAAACCTCGCCCGGACTATTTTTATATTTTGATTAGATGAAATAGAAAAAAATATTAAAGTTGACTATCATAAATGCTAGTAGAGTTTTTGATTTACTAGCTTAGAGGTAGGGAATTAACTTTTCTAAGTTTCTAGAGGAAAATCCTGAGAGAGATAACATAATTTTCATCTCCTTGACACCACAATCGAACAAAGTACATACGAGAAATGAAAAGGAGCATATTTCATAAAAAGGTTGCAGAATTTGTTGCCTGTATTTCAAATGCTTTCCAAGAACCAGCTTGAAGAATGACGTCGGAAGTTCATAGTGTTGAGACTTTGGCCTTTCTGTCTTGATTGCTATCGGCATATCCTTCAGAGCTGCAGGATAAAGCCATCGATGTTAGGAATCTACTTTTCTTGCACATTGTGCTTAATTCAGTAAAAAAAATATCCAATTTTTCACATTTCTATAAAATTTACATGGTTTTCAATTCCCTCGACACAAACTATAGAATTATCAGCATTTTCATAACTCATAATGCAGCTCAAAATATCAGAGGTTTACACTTTACAGAGTAATCTCTTTTTTCTTCTTATTGTCACTCTCTTAAACTTTCTTAAACCTGCGTGTGCCTGTTCCAGCTAATAACTATCACTCCTCCTTAATTGAAGCACACATATGGCCGCCAGTAAATCAGTAAATAAGAAATAGAAATATTACAGAACAAAGTTCGCGAAGAACAATGAATTTATGGCCTAAATACTCAAATAACGGGAATAAAAAGCAAAAAAACCGTCTGCAATTCCACGAAATGAATAGCACAAAATTCAACCGAGAAGAAGTCTGCCCGCTTACAATGCACGAACTGTAGGAGATCGGACAGCTGCAATTCGGCGGAGGGACGGTAGCCGGAGCGGAGGCGGGCGGCGAGCAGGAGCCTGGTGAGGCGGCGCACGACGGCGTCTGGCAGCAGATTCCGCTCGAGCGAGGCGAGCGCGAGGCGGACGGAGGCATTGTACGGCACCTGTACGATCGTGTCCACGACACCGCCGTTAGTCGTCGCCATTGCCGGGGAAATTTTCCGAGATTGGAGGGGGACTCTGGACTCTGGAGTGACGTTCCTTTCGCCTTCCCAAATAGGATAGCTATAAAAACTACGTGATGTTATTTTGGTACACGTCTATCGGTCCACCAGTTTCGGACCGAACCGCACATGTAAAAAGTTAATTAATTAACCGATTGTCGGTTCAATTTTTAAAACTGTTTAAACTTGAGCCGACTAGGGTAAAACCAGTGAATAACTACATATGATTCTATAAGATGAGCCATCCGATAACTTCATAACAAAATTAATAAATTATATTAATCATAATCCTCCTCCTCAACAATATTACAATCATAACTAAATAAAATTATTAATCAATCATTTTATTTTTTATTCATTATCTTATACTCATATAAATTTTACGAGAATTATTTATTTTAAATATTATTTTAAAATAAACCTTTTTTTGGGGAAGCAGAGCAGTCAAAGAATGAACCAGGAAATGAAAACGAAAAAAGCAAAATCCTTTCATTGCACTCAATTTTTAAAAGAACAAAGGCATTCACACACTCATATAAATTTTATAAAAATTATTTATTTTAAATATTATTTTAATATAAATTCAAAATTATGTAATTTAATTAAATTAACTCAATCAATTTTTCACAAAACATTTTTTAAAACATTATTTTAATGCAAATTCATTATTCAATCGACCTAACCTGACAAATTTTTTAAAAATTAACTCAATCAACTTTTTACAAAATATATAATAAATTATTTTAATACAAATTCAATATTCTGTCAACCTAACCCGACAAATTTACTAAAAATTAAATCAATCAACTTTTTACAAAATATATAATCAATAGAAAAATCCAATCAAAATAAGACTGCTTTAGAAAAATTACCATTTAATATTAATAAGCTCGTATTTTTTAAAAACATTCGAACTTACCTTATGAGTTCTTTGAATAGCTTTACTAATAAACTTGTTGAAACTTTTATTTCAGTTAACTTATCAGTTTGATTTTATCAAACATTTTTATAATATAAGCTAACTTCTCAACTATTATTTCAACTATTATTTATATAAGTAGAACTATTATTTATATAAGTAATCTTCTCAATTATAAGTCATAAACTATATAAACTAATAAACTATAAATTAATTTATCAACTATCTACTAACTTATCACTAATTTTACCTTAACAATTTCTTCACTATTTGGACTTTGGTATATACTTTAACAAACCATCATTTGCAGGATTTAACCAAAATCAATCCAATCAAAATTAGACTGCTTCGGAAAAATTGTCACGAATGTGTAACAATTTCTTCACTTTCTGGAGTTTGATTTATACTTCAACAAACCATCATTTGCATTATTTGATCATGTGGGGACTGACATGAAGGGAAATAAGAAAAATACAGAACAGAAAAATAAATACTACGAATATCATCACTTAACCCAACAAAACGGAATGCAACTGTTCAAAAGCCAACATACTCTCTCACGCTCCTCCAAAACCTCAACACCAATATGTCACACAGAAGAAATAAAAGGTGGTGAAATNAAAGCAGAGAAAAGGGCACTACTCATTAAAATCCTTGAAATTGCACTTTTTCTCAAGCAATCGTAACCTCGATGGTCCTCGGCTTCTTTGGCTCCGGCGGCGGCCGCTTCTCCACCTTCACCGTCAGCACTCCGTCCTGGCAGACGGCGGAGACCTTGTCCGTGTTCGCATTGTCGGGCAAGGTGAATTTCCTCATGAATTTCCCAACCCTCCGCTCCATACGCAGGTACTTGACCACTTCCTTCTCCTCCTCCCGCTTGCGCTCGCCGGAGATGATGAGGACGTTTTCCTCCTCCACCTGGACCTTGATGTCGCCGGACTTGAGGCCAGGCATGTCGACCACGAAGACGTAGGCGTCAGGGTACTCCTTGACGTCGGCAGGGGTGGCGGCCATGGCCCGGGCGTCCCGGACGTAGGTCTGGGTTGGGGCGCCGCCGGATTTGGCGGCGGCGCCGTCGTCCGGGTCGAGGATGTTGTGGAGGGCGTGGAGGAGCGGCGCGTCAATTCCCATGAATCTGATGTCCATTTTCTCCTCGCCTTTTCTTACTTAGATGATTGATAGATTGGGGGTACTTTCTTTTTTGTTTTTAATTTGATTTCGAAGATATTTTCCGAGCGGTGGCTGTTGATGGAGAGTGGGGCGGCGATTTATAGAAGCGGTGGTTAGGGGAGGAAGAGTGGAGAAGTTTCTGGAGATTTGACGGAATTTTCTGGGTTGGGGTCTGCTGAAATGGGGATACATCCAGAAGGTGCTTTGTCCACGTGCCTGAAAAGTGCGGGTG